GTTTGTAACAACCACATAACTATATGTACAAAACAATAAACGAATCACAAAAATATGACATACGGCAAAAAAAAACGACAAACATTGAATTACAGGCTCCTGATTTGGTACAGTCAGATACAGAATGTGGCGGATTCAAACGTGTTGGTGGGAGCCCACCTTTCCCTTACCTAGGACAGTGGTTGAGCATCACAACACAAGAATAAACTGTACAAAATAATAAAATTAAAGCAAATATTATAAATAGCAACAACAAAAAAACACCGAATTACAGGCGCCTCCACCTCAGATCCATAGCATTCAGATTTACACCGATTCATCTCTGAAATACAATCAGTACACCTTCAGACAATGGAAGAAATTTCAATCCACATTTTGAACTTTTTGTCCTGTAACAATTCAATATAGAGTGCACGAAAAAGGAAAAAGCATATTTTAGAGCTGCAGTTAATACCAATAATCAGGACAAGAAAATCTGTAGAAGAAACGTAGCGTATTAATCGGGTGTTCCACACCCCAAGAATGCGTTTGTGTACTTGAAAAGGGACATGAAACGGAATTTCAAGCAAAATTCGATATATTTTAATGCATCTGCTAATAGTACGAACTGAACTTCACAATAAAAACAAATGTTTTCTAAATCTTAAAATGGCGAATTTTTCACCGTCTTGAGAACTGTAATTGTCCCTGTCCTCAACAAAACTAAGGAATCGAAGCTATACTTTCTGTCTTAAATGAAGTACGCTTTGTGAAACGTGGGCGGAAACTCTATTTAATTGTGACTCGGTGGTGTTCTGGTGTCATTGTCATGTAAAGTGTTTATTCGGTACAATCTTCAAGTCTTTTCAAACAGCAATGGGTGTGGTTTACTCAATCTGATTAACCACGGAGATGAATCACCCTTTGTAGACGAATTAGGGAATGAAAATGACGACAGTGTGTGAATAAAAAATAAAATTTTACTAATTTTTGTCCGTCTGAACTGATTTTCTTTATGTAGTTTCATCAGAAACGTCCAAACCAAAATTTTGGAAGCCAAAGATTCATAATAAACTGACATATGATAAGCTATATGACCAAAAAGGAAACAACAACTAGCCAAGTACATCTAAGGACGACTTTGCCTAAGTGAGTTGGAACCTTGGTATCCCAATAAAACGAATGCAAAGACCTTTGTTTATTGATTTATTGTCCTATCAATTGTGTGTCTCTCCTGTGACTTTCTGACCCTTCCTTTTTCAGATATTCTTAACCTCTTTAGATTTAGTTGAATTTGCTAATTTCAATACATAAGATCACAACTTTGGAAGGCAGGCGTCACTGGTTAGTCTTTTGTAGATCATTTTCTCGAGAAAGACATTTTGTTTTTTTATTATTTTTTTTTCTTTAGCCAAATTTTTTCTTAGGCTGTTTGTTGTTTTGCAAGTTGTCGCTTATATGTTTGATATATGATATCTAACTTTTGAAACTTACGCTGGTTCAACGAACACTTTTCTTAGTAAGAATTATCTCCCCAAACACTGTTTGTTGTGTGCGCACTACTCCTTCGCAACCGTAACAGATTATGACAAAAACTACTTCTAAATTGGCCGTTATATCCTCAGGATGTCAAGAATAATGTAGATCGAAGAGATCTGAAGATTCTATTTGGGAGAAATTTCTCTCTATGAATTTGACATAATTGAAATGTAATAGTAACTCATAAACAATAAGTCATATAGACCTAGGGTCTTCTTTTAGGTTCTTGGACCAACAAAAAGAAATTGAGTTCAAGGTAAAATGTCATGTTTTGATTAATTCTATTTTATGTTTTATGCTTGTGCATGCTACTCCTAGGAAACAGTAATGTAAATTGGCTTTTGAACAATTGGTTTTTGATTGATATCTTTTTCCTCTTCCGCCAAATCTTTTTCTTGCGATGTAAAGGTGGTTTTGCAAGATACCGTTTAGATATTTGGCATATGATATCGAACAGTCCTGTCTAACTGAACACTTTTTTTTTGTAAGAGTTATTTCCACAAACGCTGTTATGCTTGTGTGTGCCTCTCCCTCCGTAACCGTAAAAGATAATTCTTTTTCTTAATTGTTCTTTATATCCTAAGGAAGTTTCGACTGATATGGACCGACGCCATCCAGTGACATCTTGTAAGAATTATCTACTTTTAACAATTCAACTTGTTTGTTTTTGTAACTCATAAACCGTAAGCCATATAAAGATAGGGTCTTTTTATTTAAGGTTTCCAGAGCCTCAACTTACAGAATGAGGTCAAGGTAAAAGGTCAAGGTCATGTTCTTCATTGTTTCTGCATCTTCTCTGAAATGTCAAAAGATAGATAAAAAATAACTAGTACAAAATGTTTACTTTCTTGTGATAAAGATATGGTCTGAATCAATCCAATGACATCTTATATGAGTTATTGCCTCTGAAATGCTTTATCTTAATGTTAAATCCCTATTACTTCAACTTCGTACAAGATAAAGCCATAGGGTCTTTGGCAAAATCTTCAGTGACATATGACCTTGCAAATGTCAACCGGAAGTGACCTTGAGTAAACTTGAAGTGGCCATTTTTGTACTTGTTTTCCCTGGAAAAGTACCAAGAACGCATACATTTTAAAAAGACATGCTGAAGCTGTCATTTGAGACCCGAAGTAACCTTTGTAAAACCGGAAGTAGCAAAGTATCTCTCTCATTTCCGGCAAAAATATATAAAAACCATATATGTTTAGACACAGCTATCTTCTGAGTCTCGAAGTCATATTTTCTTAACCGGAAGTAGCAAGTTTCTCCCTTATTCCAGGCAAAAGTAAATAGAATTAGTTGGAATAAATCTATCAAAAAAGACCAGAAGTGGCATTTCTTAACCTGAAGTAGCAAATGATCTCCTTTGTTTTATGCAAAAGTATCTAAAAACAATTTAATTTTTTTTGGAATCAGGGCAAATAAAGCTATCATATGAGATCAAAAGTGACATTTTCTAATCCGGAAGTAACAAGTTATCTCCCTTTTTTAGCCATAGTATATAGGAACCATATGTTTATTTTAATCAGTATGAAGAAACCTATGATTTGACGTCAATTTAAACACTAAAATTACTCCTAGTAAACCGAAGTAGCTTCTTAGATATTTAATAATGAAAAGACTTTTAATTGTTCTTTAAGACTTTTGATATGCGATTCTTGGATCATTACTTGGAAAATAAGGTCAAGGTCATCGATCACGGTCATATTCTTGTTTTTTCCATTTTCTAGTGTGTGTGCATCTTCTCTCAAACTTTAAAAGACACGTACAAACTAACTGGTGCAAACTGCTTGGGTTGTTGAGACAAAACAAAAGGTACATTCAGTCCAAAGCAATCTGAAGACAACTTATAGGAGTTATTGACACTCAAATGGCTAAATTTTAGATTAATTGATTATAACTTCATACTGGGACATAATAAAACCATTGCGTATTTTGCAAAGGGTTGACTGACATATGACCTTTAAAAATATCAACCAGAAGTAACCTTGTGCAAACCGGAAGTAGCCATTGCTAAACGAAAAGCACTAAGAAACCATATATTTTTAGAATCGGCGTACAGTAACCTACATTTTAAAGTTACCATATAGTTTTGGAATCAATTTAAAGGGTTCTATCTTAAGGCACGTGATAATCGGATGTGACCCTTTATAAACCGGAAGTGGCTAATTATCTATTTTGTATAAATTGAAAATACCAAAATATATATATATTTTAGAATCATTGTAAAGTTAGCTTTTGAGTGACAATAATTATGATTATCTCCCTTATTTTAGACAAAAGTCCCAAGAAACCATACATTATTTGAATCAGTTTAGAATAATATTGCATATGACACGGGGAGTGAAATACTAAACCGGAAGTAGCTAATTAAACTCCTTATTTCAAGTGAGAGTACATAGAAACCTTTCATTTTTTGAATCAGTGATTATGTTTACTGTTTTCTCATACCTTCATTTTTACTTTTTTTTATAAACACACAAACGATGTCAACTGATTCAGAAGCAGATCTACTGATCGATATTAAAAAGAAGGATGGTTTAGCTTAAACAAAAAAAAACAAAACAAAACAAAGTGACTGAACCACGTCAGTGGTTGTCATTTTGTCATATCGTAGTGCACTTCAGAGTAAATTTCTTTAACACCGTCCTCAACACTACAGAAAGAAAAGATTTCGGCCTAAAGAACAGATTTATGACAAAATTCAAAGAAATAATCCAGAAATGTTCCAAACCATAAATTGGTGAATTGGTGTTAATCGCGAAATCACGTAATGGCTAAACAACAACTAGTAGTATAATTATGACCTTTGTCAATATAATGTCTATTATGCAACAAAGAAATTTGTTTAACTTGCTTGATAAAAACATTACTTTGTATAAAATTCTTGCTGGCGAAATAATATGTCCACAATAAATCTCTTTATTTGCGACAAACACCTTTATATCGAACCCATTGGAAGAATTCACTGTACAAGAAGGAGCCAACGATACAGGAAACGAAAACTAACAATAAAATTGTCCATTTGAAAAATGTTTGTTTGTATAAGAAATACACAAGAAATTATTTCACGTTCAGGACCAAGTATATATCTTCAAACACTTGGAAACAATAGTTTTAAAAGTACATTATTTACGACAAAGTGATTGAATTACTATTTACTGTTTGCTTAATGTCCAATGGAAAATTTCATGCATATCAGGATGAAAACAAATTGAAAATAAAAAGAATAGGTAATACCGCAATATGAGGGTTTAGGTACCTGGTCAACTTAGAATAGTGCACAGACACGGGGAATGTGTCAAAGAAACAACAACCCAGATAACAGCCTCGGAGGCGGGCTTCACCTAGCCCCTAAAACTTACATTCATGTATTACTAGTATTAAATCAGGAAGTTAGTTAAGAAAGGGGAATACTGGACACTCATATCATAGTCCATTTTATATTTTAGGCTATTTAAAAACACAAGACCTAAGGCTTTAAGATTGCAAATACAATTTTAATCTTATTCTTCGTAACATACTTCTTTGCTTTAAGAACATCTGTATTTCAGTTCCGTATATTTGTATGTTCCACCACATGGATCGCCATAAAGACTATTACTGGCTGCAACTTTGCAAATTCTTTTCCCGTTGCACTGCTTTTTAATCTTTGCATCTGATGATGCCGCCTTACATGATGTAGTTTTGATGCTGCTGTGGGGACATATACGTTTATCTTCTGAGCGACCATACATTGCCTTTACAACTTTTATTTTAGTCGGATATTTACACCTGACGTACATAGAGTGACCTTCGCAAACTATAACATTGGTAACACCTGAAAACAAATAATTATTCATAAGTGTTATGCAATTTAAAAATGGCCTCAAAGTGAAAATTTTAAAGTTAAGCCTGCCTATGTTAGCGTACGTGTCCATTAAAACTTGAATTAAAAGCCAAAACAATCAAATCATTATCACAGTTGACACATTCAAATGGTTGTAGCTTTTATCAAATTTCCTTGGTAAAGGGCTGTTATGTATTGATCTAAGACAACTTTAGTGCTCTCCTCGTAAGGTTATGGACACCAACATTATTTGGTTGACTGTTTCAAATGATTACGGAGTTGTTCCTTTTTCACTGTTTTTAATTTGTAATCGAATGGGAGTCATCGTCTGATTTTTTCATTTCTCAAGAGCAAAATTACACGTTTTTTAAGAAGATCATGCTTATTCTTCCTAAATTAATCGGGTTCACCTAACATTTGTGATTAGATTAGTATTGCGTTTGCGTTAGTCATCCGTTTTGTTTAATCTTACATTCTATGAAAAGCTTTTTCTATCAGTGGTGTCATAGTCTATCATTTGTCCTGAATATTTCTCGTGTTTTCATTCAATCTATCGCATTTGGTTATTTTTTAGTTGTTTTTTTTTATATTGATTGATTGTTTGTGCGGTTATGTCTTAGAGTTAGACAAGAGACATCTACCAATATTCTATGGCATGACACTTTATAAGATTTTATCATACATAACACGACAGTGTCATTGAAAAAATAAAAACAACACGTTATGAATTTAATACGTCCGAAGCGCTTTTCTGGAGTTACCTTCAGGAACGCTCAAAAGCCGAATATTTAAAAGCCAAGAATGTATAAGTTGAAGAGCTATATGATCAAAAGTACCTTAAAATAGCCAAATCCATCTAAGGTCAACTTTGCCTTAGGGAGTTGAAACCTCAGTTTCTTTATAATTTCAAAATTTATAAATTTATAAACAGACAATTTTAGAAATGTTTGTTATAAATCATGTCAGTACGGAAGTACTGACTACTGGGCTGATGATATCCTCTGGGACTAAAAGTCCACCAGCAGAGGTATTGACCCAGTGCTGTAAAAAATGGAAACAACACGTTATAAGTTTAATGCGTCCGAAGCGCTTTTCTGGATTTACCTTCATCAGGAACGCTCAAACCCGAATATTTAAAAGCAAAGAATGTATAAGAACCGAAACAGTTGAAGACCTATATGACCAAAAGTACCTAAAAAATAGCCAAATTCATCTAAGGTCAACTTTGTCTGAGGGAGTTGAAACCTCGGTTTGTTTATAACTTCAAAATTTATAAACAGACAATTTTAGAAATGTTTGCTATAAATCATGTCAGTACCGAAGTACTGACTACAGAGCTGATGATACCCTCGGGGACTAATAGTCCACCAGCAGAGGTATCGACCCAGTGCTGTAAAAAATGGAAACAACACGTTATAAGTTTAATGCGTCCGAAGCGCTTTTCTGGATTTATCTTAATCAGGAACGCTCAAAGCCGAATATTTAAAAGCCAAGGATGCATAAGATAGTGAATGAACTTCAAACCCTTCTTAAACACAAGAAAAAAAATAAAGATATGATTGCAAATGAGACAACCATCGATTAAAACTCAAATATAAATATGTAAACAATTAAAGTTATTGTACGTTCCGGAATGACAAAATGTGAACAATTCAAAAGAGAAAACCAACGACCGGATTTATACAACAACAGTTAGACACCATTATGGCCAATAGAAGCCGACGATAACGCCAGCAGCCGTTTCGATATTCAAATTTTGAATTTTGAAAAATTGATAAAAACATATTTAAAAAATTTCTGAAAGGATAAACCATATAAAAAAGTAGATATGAAGAAAAGTACAATTTAAATCATGTTCTGACTCCTACAGATTTAATTTCTCGGTATCCTCAAATATAACCCCTTACATAGAACGCGATTCTGATTTCATAGTTAATCAATCTTAAACGACAAAAATTGAATAAAAAAAAAATTATCTTAGAACATGACCGCGCCTAAATCTTATAGAGGAAAATACGTCCAATTCTTAACATGTGAAAAATATATGACTATATATATGGAAAACCATAAAGGACATTTTTAAATCACGTTTATATTAGAACAAATATTTCAAAAGACTACAGTGGACCGCAGAAATGACAGTGAGCCCTTCCTGATCTTTTAATGTCTATAAAATTTGGGTGACATTTAGGCTGGGCAGATATTGATACTATCAAAAGGATGTTTTTTTTTCAAATTTTCATTTTCGATTTGTACGGGGGACTTAAAGTGTCATTTAACTGTAAAAAAAACAACAGAAAAAGGCCGGTACGTTAGATAGACCTTCATGATCTTTGAATCGTCAGGATATATGGCACAGAATATGGAGTGAGCTTAACTTAACATGTAAAAACAGATTATATTTGGAGGAATTTGTGGAATTTTTTTGTCATCAATATATACGGAGGGCTCAAAGTACCAGTTTAATATTTAAAATATATTACAAAAGACTACCAGGGACCGCATGAATGACAGATAGACCTTCCTGGTCTTTTAATGTCTATAAAATTTGAGTTTTAGTTAGGCTAGGCAAAGATATTAATACTATCAATATAATATTTCTGAACATTTTCATTTTCGATATGTACGGGGGACATAAAGTGTATTTTAATATAAAAAAATCTACGGAAATCAACGGAAAAGGACCGAGTGCGTTAGATAGACCTCACTGGGCCCGTATGCATAAAACCACTTAAGTTAAGATTTGTACCGAACGGAAGGGTTTTTCTACATGTCCTACGATAAATTAGTATTACGATTGGATATCTTAACTTAAGTAGCTTTATGCATACGGGCCCTGATCTTTAAATCACTATGTAATTTACCACGGAGTCAGCTAATTACTAAAAACATATACCATAGGAGGAATTTGTAGAAACGTTTTGTCTTCAATATCTACGGAGGGCTCAAAGTACTGCAGTTTGATATTCAAAATATATTGCGAAAGGCTACCGGGGACCGCTTAAATGACAGATAGACATTCCTGATTTTTCAATGTCTATAAAATGTGGGTTACTGTTAAGCTAGGCATTGATATTAATACTATCAAAAAAATATTTGTGAAAATTTTCATTTTCGATATGTACGGTAGACTTAAAGTGTCATTCATGATCAACTATACAAAAAATCAACGGAAATCAACATAAAGCCAGGTGCGTTAGATACACCTCCCTGATTTTTTAATCGACATGATATTTAGCACAGACTGAGAGTAATTAAGTTAATATGTAAATACAGATACTGCTAGGAGGAATTTGTAGAAATTGTTAGTAGATAGATATAGGAAGATGTTGTATGAGTGCCAATGAGACAACTCTTCATCCAAGTTACAATTTATAAAAGTAAACCATTATAGGTCAAGGTACGGCCTTCAACACGGAGCATTGGCTCACACCGAACAGCAAGCTATAAAGGGCCCCAAAAAATTACTAGTGTAAAACCATTCAAACGGAAAAACCAACGGTCTAATCTATATAAAAACGAGAAACGAGAAACACGTATGAACCACATATTAAACAGACGACAACTACTGTAATCCGATTCCTGACTTAGGACAGGTGCAAACATTTGCAGCGGGATTAAACGTTTTAATGGTACCAAACCTTCTCCCTTTTCTGAAACAATAGTATAACATCACAACATAGAAAAACACACTATAAAATATCAATTGGAAGGCTTAACTCAATCAAAAAACGTAAATAAACACACAATGAACGAATAAATTTGACCTGTGACACCTGAATGCAAATACACAGTTAATAAAAAATTACAAGGGATAAATAATTAAAGTCAAAAGTAAATACACAGGTTTAAACAAAGTGTAAGTATGATATCACTGTGAAATGTCAAATATTTTTTAGAAAATCATCACTTTTGAAGAAACCTGTGTCATATTATACACAGGTAAATGAAAATAATTTTGTTGTTAAGTATACTTCTTCTGTGTGTATAAAATCTTCCGTTTAGGAATACTAAGAAATTTCTTTAATATCAATAAAACTAATCTAACACTTGGTACATATGGGGTGAATATCAACAATAAAACTATACAATTCAATATGTGTGGAGGGCTCAAAGTACCAGTTTAATATTCAAAATATATTGCAAAAGAACCGCTGGAGACCGCTCAAATAACAGTTAGAACTTCTTGATCTTTTAATATCAATACAATTCCTGTTACCATGAGTAAGGCTAGAAATCGATATTAATACTATCTCAAGGATATTTTTTACATTTTGCTTTTCGATATGAACAGGGACTAAAAGTGTCACTTTACTATAAAAAAATCAACGAAAATCAACAGAAATTAAAGGGCCTGGTGTGTTATATAGACCTCCTTGATCTGCCAATCGTCTTAAAATTTCTCTAGATGTCATTAGTATCTATAGGTTAGCTAACTCTATGCCTAATTTTAAGAAGATTGAATGATCAAGAATGTCTAGGCAATGCCATGGGCCCTTTACCTGAATTTTCGACAATTTTTTTTTATTGAAAAGTGACACTTAAAGCCAACCTTAAATATCGAAGATGAAATGTGTATGGGATATAGGTTTGATAGTATCTGCATCTGTACCTAGTTTCCAAATGTTATTGACATTGAAAGACCAGGAGAGTCAAACGGTCATTTATGCGGTTTCTGGTTGGATTTTTGCAATATATTTTATATATTCATATGTTGATTATCAAACTGGAACTTTGAATCCTCCGTACATATCGAAACCAAAAAAAAAGACAAATTCCTCTTGATGTCATTGTTGGTTTTATGTTAGCTTGCTCTATGCATTATTTTATTAAGGTTGAATGATCAGGACCCTGGGCCCTTTTACCTGAATTTTTGATTGAAAAGTGACGCTTTAAGCCCTCTTTAAATATCGGAGATGAAATGTTTAATTCTGGTTCTCAATGTCATTTGTGCAGTCTCCGGTAGACTTTGCTATAAATTTTGAAAACAAATTGGAACTTTGAGTCCTCCGTGCATTACGTAGACAAAAAGTTTCAAAAATATTCTTTTTTTCGTTTTCCATATCAATATCTATTTTTCTAGTTTTATTACTCTTAACTAAGACAATTTGAATATCGAACCGACTGCCGGCAGCCGATTGGATATTGAATATCGAATAACGAATAACGAACATGCCGCTAACTTCACATACATTATAATAATTATCCATACAAAATTTAAAGAATTTGTTTAATCATTTATCAAGAAATAGAAAGATTTTGGTAACAACAGACAATGCAGGTGCATGTCACAAACTGACTGACGGAGTGCATACCTATAGTAAAATATACTGATTTGGTAAAAGTCATATTCTGACATAAACTGTACATGCTGATTCCGGAGAGAAGCGGAGTCACCCGAGGTTAACCGATTGATATACTTTTATGGACTTACCTGAACGATTTCCTGAATATGTTCGTCTGTTACAGGATGGTCTTTTCATGTTAAGCAATGAATGGAGGATATCTTCTTGTATCTTGACTGTTTTGCCTACAAAAAATTGACGAAGGAAAACATTAAGTAACTATAATACAATTATATGTCTCTGCTAAAATCAACAATTTAATTTTTTTTTCGGTAAATGCTATAAATACAACCAGCGACATATAATACAATTATGTATTAAATGTCTCTGATATAATGAAAGATGCAAATCATAAAACAAACAGAAAATTTCTTTCCTGAAAATTAACTATAATTCCCATTATTAAAGCTTAATATGTGTTAAACATATTAAATGTAAGATTCGGAAGATTTAACAAAACTACATGGCTCCAATATGCGATACCTATAGATTTTGACAATTGTTATATGAAACATATATCTAAACATTATAAGAAACTAGAAAAATCTATTAAATTCATTAACTATTTATATTTTTTTATGAAAACTGCCTAATATGCAATCTGTTGGGTATAACATTTTGGTTAACGGATATGCATTCCATGTACTCCTCGATATTCAAATACATGTAGATTTTATGAACTCTTTTGAGTATGACAATTTGATGGATTCAAATACAGTTTAAAATCTATGAATACTGTATATTTTAAGCAGTTATATCAGGTTCAATGGGGTTTTGCGTAAAATGTCAATAGGGAGAATGTGACATTTCCTGAGCCTCAAATATCCTCCATGAACATGATACAGGTATCTGTTGAATTATACCGATTATCAAAAGAGATGGTTAAATTAAACGTCAAAATTCAATCAAGATGTTAGAAAAAACAATCTATCAAAATTTTGTCTACCTATATTGTAAAAATGCAAATAACCTTACATTTGGCAAATACCACGTCGGACAGGGTTTTAAAAGATATATCTAAGTGCATATCAATCAATTGAAATCGAAGATACTCAAGCGATTGAATGACTGCAAATATTCATAATCTTAATTTCATTTTTTATCTAAATTTTTTTTTGTAAAACCACTTTAAAAATACAAGGTCGTGTTTTTCTCTGACTGTTAATGACGTCTTTACACTAAATCCATTGGATGTTGGATGTGTACTGATTGATATTTTAGTCTAAGGTGCATGATTTTTTTATTAGTTGTTATTGACTTTGAACTAGCTGTCAGTAACTGCCAGTACTCTCAGATCCAAGTTTCTTTTTGTTGTGGGGATGTATAAAGTACCATGCCACGTCCACTCTGTGTTTTTGTTATATGTATATCTGTTTGTATCCATCTGATGAGTTAAGCCTTTTCAATTGATTGTTGTTATGTGCCTGTCCTAAGTCAGGAGCCTGTAATTCAGTGGTAGTCGTTTGTTTCTGTGTATCATATTTGTTTTTCGTTCATTATTTTGTGCATAAATTAGGCCGTTAGTTTTCTCGTTTGAATTGTTTTACATTTTTATTTCGGCGGGCCTTTTATACCTGACTATGCGGTATGTGTTTTGCTCATTGTTGAAGGCCGTACGGTGACCCGTATAGTGGCTTATTTTATGTCATTTTTGTTCTCTTGCGGAGACTCGTCTCGTTAGCAATTATATTACATTTTCTTATTTTTATATTAGAAGTACTACATTTGTATTTAAAAGATAAATCAAAGAGCAACAATGATAACTGTTACTTACCACAATGAGCATCACAAGGTAGCATGAGCAGGAAACAAGAGCAAAGAAGATACCAAATGAACATGTCTGGTATTAGCAGTTGAAACACCAAATGTTAAACCCGATTGATACAATTTGATTTCTTTTATTTTAATAGAAGTTTTTTTATATTAGTTTGATTTTCATGGAAAAATTTAAATCAAATATAGAGAAACGATACGTGAGAACTTGTTATACAATGTGCTTCTGGTATCATTTTCAATTGCGTGCCTAATTTGTAATCTAATATCCCATTACGTGTGTCAATAGTTGGCAAAATATGAAGCTTACATACAAACAATCACTGTTTACCTCTTATTGCAGGATTAAGTTAAAACAATGATATTTGAAGTTCAACACATAGAATTGGTTTTATTATAGTAATCGGTTATCATTGCTGTACGAATCAAGCTATGGTCTTGACATTATTTCAAAGATACATTTCGTTTATAAATTTCCACTTTATAAAAAACCTGTAATAATGCTAGAACTATAAGGTTGCAACTCCCTTAAGCAGAGTTGACGCGAGACGATCCTGTATGGTCTGTTTTTGGTCCCTTTTTGGATTCATGTTTGGGAGCTCTTCAATATTTCATGCATATTGTTGTCTTTCAACACTTTGGATCTCAAATGTACCAAATGCGGCTTAATCCAGAAACACGTCTTAAGGAAATTAAAAACGGTTTTGCTCACTGTACTCTTTGGTCGGTACTGCTTTATGGTGGACCATCAATTCCCATGACAACACTCTACTTTTTATATTATGTTTATATATGAATTGTTCATTGTAATTAATCTGCTCCATACTAGGTACGTTAATGCTCCTTGTGGCGCTGTGATTATCAAAATATAAAAAATCTGTGCTAAGATTGACAAGCTTTTTTAAAAGCTAAGATTGTTTTATGGTACGCTCCCTTACCGGAAGTCCCATCTTTCACCGCCATCTCGTAGTTTGTTTTGGCTTGCTTAGCGATGAATCAGAAAATGATGTGACTCTGGTCATGTGTATTAAAATCACACTCTTCACTTTGAAATAAGAAGAAAACAAACTGAAGTCCGCGAATTGTGAGTTTATTTTTCAACAGTTTCAGCAGTAGCATAGTTTTAAAGGTTGGAGAGTCAAAGTCATTCAAATCTTCAACTCTTGAGGAACATAAGTAACCATAAAATTAGAAGTGATTTTACAGTAAAGATAATTGACAAAGTGATATAAACCAAATTCGTCATATTTGCCATACCCCTTCATTGGAGAAACTATTGTTTACATTTTTTTTTTCATACAGACATCTACTTACATCCAACATTAGCTGCTACAAATATTGAAATATTCGTTTTTCCCTATTACAATTACACAATGGAAATTACTTCCTTCAAATTTAGTACTTTCCCCTGCACTCAATATATTCATAGAACAGTTGACACCTACTATTCTCTACAGTTAATCTTAGTAGAACTTAATGTAATATACAGTAGTGTCCGGTAAACCAGCTAGCCCACTTCATTTCTTCGGTAATTGTCACTTCCGTGAATATTTCGTCTGCTATTTATTCATAGGAACTGTACTTATCATCACTGCTTGTCAAATTTTAAAGAAAAATCATTTATTACGAAAATATTTCCTATTAAAGCTAACAATAATCATATTATTGCTTACAAAACTTATTTCTGACTTGAACTTTCTTTTTTTGGATTATCTGGAATCTCTTTATAAGTGATCTATTAATAAATAGATCACCTTTTCCTTTCATAAATTTGTGATAAACTGGCGCTCAATACATATTTCTGATAAAAACACGGATGACCCACATGTTTTGTTGATTTTAAAATTTATTTCAGATATTTTTTAGGAAATGAGATAAACTACTCAAAGATGATTTGTCAGTGAATCTATTTATAATAAATTTGATTCAATTTGTGTATAATTAAGCAGAAATACATACGATCAAAGCCTTACATGTATGTGGGCGGATTTACCGGACTGCATTGTATTATAGTTTTAACATCATGTTTTCATCTCTTCGTAACATGTAACTTCCAAATTTAGTCATGTTAATACAAGCAAAGAAGAGTATAGTCAATATATATTTTAAGTCCCGTATACATCAATGATACATGTAATTTAGTTTTGAAAAAAAAAAAAACATTGTGAAATTGCTCTCTAGATTTCTTTTAATTGTTTCTATCTCATTGATTAATACCCTGCATATGTTTTATTCATACAAACATTTCCCAATATCACAAGTTTTATTTACACCATTTTATGTATAACAAAATGGTTTTAAGAATCATGAATACAAGTTTACAGTAAAATACTTCATTCAAGATTCATTTGGAAATTCTGGTCAATTACATTAAATTGAGAATGGAAATGGGGAATGTGTCAAAAAGACAACAACCCGACCAAAGAGCAGAAGACAGGCCAAGGCCACCAATGGCTTCAACAAAGCGAAAAAAACCAGCACCCGGAGCATACAAATGAACTAAAATAAAAAAAAAAACATACAAGACTAACAAAGGCCAGAGGCTCCTGACTTGGGACAGGCTCAAAAATGTGGCGGGGTTAAACATGTTTTGTGAGATCTCAACCCTCCCCCTATACATGTATCTTTTCTGCAGGACAATAACATTGACAGTTTTGCTTGCCCTGGTACAACTACAAGTGCTCACAACAAATATTTCTACTCCCTTACATGTAACTTTCAACTTTTAAAAAAAATACTTATTATATATACAAGTTTACTTGTACTTTAGTTTTCCTTTGTGAACTTAATTGTCTTGTCATCGTCTTTGTCAGTTTCTCTCAACTTGCAAGTAGGTACATGCATGACATACATGTATGTTCTGCCACATTTTAAATATTTTATATGTTTGTTTCTAATTTTAACCCTTAATACCTAATAGTTTTATAATTTCAGAGATGAATTAAATATTTCACCATTTTTAATAAAGATATTGTTTGTTTTATTATAATGAACAAATTGATGTCAAAACATTGTTTATATTTACATACATGTACATATAAAATTATATATAATATAGATTGTCCTTGGAAGCTACATTTGTACCTGTCATATGTAGTTTAAGTTCAATAATGAATTAGTTTTTAATTGGAATGAGGATTGTAAATTGTAAAAATACTAGAGTTTGATATTTTCTAAACAGGATCAGTAATTTATTGTCAGAAAATTGAGTTACAATTTATTTATCTAAATGACATGAATGACCTGGCTAAATGGTGTATTGTCATTATCTGATTAAGAAAGTCAATTTGAATTGAATTGAATTGATTTTGATATGATAAGGACTTACATGTAATTATGTTTATCAATGACATTAAAATAGATGTTTTAATAAGATTACAGATAACTTTTAATTATATAATTGATTTTGGATAATCTGTTCCATAGACATTACCTAAGGTCTTATAAAATTAAAAACAGAGGTTTAAGCTAGATTTACGGATTAGTTTTAATCAGCCCGTTTTAATTATGCAAGTTTATTTAATCTAGAGCCAAAAAAAATAAATAGTGTAAATTCAGAAATTTTTGCACATTTATTATAGAACTTGTGGATGGGTCGGCAGGGCATGGTAGGAAGGTTAATTATTTTAAAAATATTTTAGACTAAATGTTATGGACTTTAACAGTCATGACAGTGCTTAACTGAAATGTCTGCACCTAAACAGTGCTTAGCAATTTATGTCCATAAAATGTTTTAGGATAGGTAGAGAGGCAGAGCCGCAGAAGACAGACATACATCTTTGGGGGGTCTTGTACAAACTGTTCCACATTCTGTCATATTACTTGAGTCTGAAGTTGATGATTGCTGTACCATTTAAGAAATATAATCAAATTGTCTGAAAGGCCCAGAAAGTTTCAGGCAGTGGCCATTTTTAGGCTTTTTACCATCAGGCTTCCCTCGTGAGGTTTTGATATCCATTTTGTAAAATGCTCTAATGCTTAATGTCAGCAACATGATTTATGTAATTAAAATTGCCTCCATGCATCAGACTGAATGTTACTATTGATATTTGACATTTATGGGGAGAACACTTCTTCAAATGGTTATTTATATACTCTAAATACAATTGGACAAATGGGCTTCGAGTCAGTAAGTTGGTCATGTTGGTATGACAAGAAATTTGTTGTTAAATTCATTGCAATTTTGAAAAAAAGGTGTGTTATAAAAATAAAATTAAGTCAGAAAAATTTAGATATAACAAGATACTTAAAATTTCCAGAGTACTATAATTGAAATTTTCAGAGTACTAGAAATATCTGTGAATTTAGTTTTGCTTTGATACTTCTAAGTTAGTCAGGTGAAACATTTTATATGTGTTTAATGCAAAGACAAGGGAAATAACTCTGATGTCCTTAAAGTTATTTACATTTCTGTTAACCTTAGTAGTAAACTTGTACAGAAGAAATTTAACAACTATTTCAGATATATTGAAATTAAAAAAAGAATTAAGGTATAAAACAATCTATATTTTGCAACCACCAGAAATTTCACAAAGGGGGAGAAAAGGGGGGGGGGGGGTATTTGCTAGGATTGGTTCACTAAAGCTTGCTTTATGTACAGTATCTATTATTTTATGCATTTTTAGGAGGGAACAAATTATCTGTAAATCCAATATAAATCTCTTATCATAATTTGGAATATATAAGACATAGAAAGGGAAATAACTCGGATGACTTTGTCTTAGTCCATAGATTAATATAACATTGACAATTTCAATTTTTGTATTTGAATTGATACCAGAACTAAGAGTGACTTAAATGTTTTAGTATATATACATAATATTTTACCCTATTTATTTCTAACATACAACTAAAAAATTGTCAAACGGTACTTTTTCAATTGATTACTTCAGTTTATTTCAATATTTATTGCATCCATTATAGTGATCTTGATAAACATGTGTATTTAATTTCAGGCAGTCAGATAAAGTGACTTTTCTTCTGAGCGTAACAATTATTGAGGGACTGACATCTCAAAAAAACTAGTTAAACACGCAGCCAGGAGGGGGTGGACAGGGGGGTACCCTTCCCCCCCCCCCCCCAAATCTCCCACCTCCCACTTTTAGAATATTTTTTTTCTCTCCCATCTATTTTTTGTCTCCCACCTTCTCTCTTATTATGAGTAATAGGATAACTATATTTGGTATGTGCGTACCTTGCAAGGTCCTCATGCCCGTCAGACAGTATTCACTTGACCTCGACCTCATTTCATGGATCAGTGAACAAGGTTAAGTTTTGGTGGTCAAGTCCATATCTCAGATACTATAAGCAATAGGTCTAGTATATTTGGTGTATGGAAGGATTGTGAGGTGTACATGTCCAGCTGGCAGGTGTCATCTGACCTTGACCTCATTTTTTTGGTTCAGTGGTTATAGTTAAGTTTTGGTCCGTTTTTCTTATACTTTATGCAATAGGTCTTCTATATTTGGTGTATGGAATGATTGTAAGGTGTACATGTCCAACTGGCAGGTGTCATCCGACTTTGACCTCATTTTCATGGTTCAGTGGTCAAAGTTAAGTTTTTGAGTTTTGGTCTTTTTTCTTATACTATATGCAATAAGTCAACTATATTTGGTGTATGGAAATATTCTATGATGTACATGTCAGTCTTGCAGGTTTTATTTGTCCTTGACCTCATTTTCACGGTTCATTGCACAGTGTTAAGTTTATGTGTTTCGGTCTGTTTTTCTTAAGCTATAAGCAATAGGTCAGCTATATTTGTTGTATGGAAGGATTGTAAGCTGTTCATGTCTGCCTGGCATGGTTCATCTGACCTTGACCTCATTTTCACGATTCATTGGTCAATGTTTAGTTTTCTTAGTTAAGTCTGTTTCTTAGAAACTATAAGCAATAGGTCAACTATATTTAGTGTATTGAATTATTGTAAGGTGTACATGTATTTCTTGTTTGGTTTATATGACCTTGACTTCATTTTCTTGGATCATGTTGAGTTTATGTAATAGTTGTAGTAAAGCTTTCATTTAGGACTATCAACATAATATCAATGTTTAGTAAAGAAGGCGAGACATTTCAGCGTGTGCACTCTTGTATTCTTATTTTCTCTTTGCATCAACTTGGAATAATTGGTATTTGTGGGATAAAAAGAGTAAAAAGTATATTGAGTATTGACAGAAAAAATATGAAACTAAAAACAAGTGCCCTATCTTTTTCCCAGCATGCATTTCTTTAATCATTGCATTACAAGAAGAGGTAGCCTGTGGTAACTTTTAGATTGATTATGATTTGGACGTCTGAAATATAAAGAATAAAATGATTTATGGGATATATGTGATGCGACAACAACCAATAGACGTTAAAGCTCATTCATCATTTTACTATAGACTGAATCAGTCCTGTTTCTTAAATGTTAAACAAATTTAATGTTTGAAAAGCCTAAGGCAGCCTTTACTACATTTAGTTATTTCTCTTCCCTTGCTTATAATATAAAGAAACGAGCTTTTCCTAAACAGGTGTTAGTTAAAAATTGCTGTGACACAACACACAAGGTACATTTTATTTCATTGGGAGACCGAGTTAGTTATAAATAGCTTTGACACAAGCTAAGGTACATTTTATTTCATTGGGAGACCGAGTTAGTTATAAATTGCTTTGACCCTAGGTACATTTTATTTCATTGGGAGACCAAGTTAGTTATAAATTGCTTTGACACTAGGTTCATTTTATTTCATTTGGAGACTGCATTTATATAGATACAAATTGCTGTGATACTAGATATTAGGTACATTTTATTTCATTTGGAAACCCACTTTAGCCAAACATATCAACATTATTTGTGTACAAACATAATGTGTAAGTACACTTTTTGGCTGGGTTACACAAATTGCAAAATCCTTGAACTTTGAAACTTCACAAAATAATTGCATACATATTGAAATTAGGCACTTGCTATTAAGGAATTGTTTGAGGCGTTATTTTCCATTTTTACAAACTTTTAATTTTGATAATTTTTCATACCCATTCTATATATATTCCCATATATATGGTTATTTAATGTTCATTGTAGACCATTCTCCATTGTTTAAAAAATACTTTGAGCAACTTGGCAATTTAAGTCTTTGATCCTTTTTCTTATTAACGCTGAGTGATAAAAAATCATGTTGATTTCAATTTTTCTATCTGCTATATATCATGGTTATAGATTGGCATAATATCATAATAGATTTCTAAACAATATATATATAAATAGCTTTGAAGTTGTAAATTTAAATAATTTAGATATTTAAACATTGATATTAAGCAGTATAATAATACAATGTAAGTTACTTTATATCAAAATATCTAAATTGATTGGTCGCAATTCATTGGAGATATCTAAAAGGAATACAATTGGCGATAACATTTTTGTGACTTGATCAATAATTAAACATCAGACCTGCTCTGTTTGATGTATTTAAACATTATGCCGAATGTAAATATTTTTCCCTCTAATTGATCTCGTGTTCATATAAAAGATTGTTAAATTTAATCCTTATTTAAACAATATGTAACAATTTAATTGCGTCCATCGATGTAGACTCTTCTGAATTTAGTGTAATGGATCTTGTTTGTTCTATCAAATTTATGCATGTTGCCGCATGACCCAAGAAAATAATCAGGACAGAAATCCTTACTTATCTATTTAAAGTTTCCCCTTTGCCGGACATTACATTTAATCCTGGGTATGGATTAGTAACAGGTAGTGAGGAATTACCCTTGTGAGAATTTTTAGTTGTTGTTTCTTTATGCATACCACTCTGTGGTAGTGGCCGTTAAGTACGAGAGGGATTAAGTGAACACCATCTGGGATAATGGCCCTTAATGAAATTGACAAGGTATATAATTTAACACTTATAATTATCTTATGCAAGTAAAGTATGTAGATAAAAGATAAATAAAATAGTCTTTCATTAGTTATTATTTGTTTAGTCCTTTGTTCCAAGTCAATTTCCATATAATTTTGAATAGGTCACTTTCAACGTGTTTGTACGAAAGTTATTTGAAAGTGCTAGCTATCTATTGTTGACACGAAATGCAATACCTCTGGCTTTTGTTATCTTTTGAAATTGATATTTGTAGACAATATGTTCGATATGTATACAGATTTGTTTTATTCTTTTGTAATGCAATTATTTGAATTGGACAAATGAATGTCGGAAAGTTTTTCACAGATTTTGAAGTGGGAAAATTAGAAATACATGTATTCATTGGATGTTTACATTTGGAAAGTGAATGTTTTCAACATCAAAATAAGCTTTTTACACAAGAAGTTTATTTATGGAAAGTGAATGTAAAAATTAGCTGTTAACATTTTACCTAGGATTTTTATATTTGGAAAGTGATTGTTTATTAACATACTAATTAGCTTTATTCAATAGGCTAATTTAATTAGTACAGGAATTTCATATTTCATGACACAAATTTAAACAGTATTCATGTGCTGTGCTTAAAAAGTAACAACATGGATTTATAAATATGGTCTTGATGTAATGATACAATATCTAGTTTCTCCTTTGGGATTTTATGTGGCTGCCAACAAAGGAACATCAGAATAAACTGTTAAACATGCTCTACGACAGATATTGACTTTTTTACAACAGAGTCGTGTGTTGATTCTATAACACATAACAATATGGCACTTTGTGTATGATGTGTGTACATGGTTTTATTCAATAGCTAGTTTTGTGGTTAAAAATTATTAATATTAATTTTTTCATAATAATTAAAAATCATAACAAATATTCATAATGGATTATTATTTGAATGATTTCCAGTGGGACTACAGACCAAGGGATAGATACCTAGACCCAGGGAGTGATAGCGATTCAGATATGTCTTGGAAAGGACCACATTCTCCAAGTTTTACCATTCAAAGCAATGTACCAGGTATGTTGACATATGTTTTTTATGGCTATGAGTGAAATTTGATATATGAAATGCATTTAATTCAAAATTTATTTGGTTTTTCCCATTAAGTTTTACTAGTCCATGTAATTTTTGCTTCAAGTTCATAGTTTAACAATTTATATAAAGTTTCAATTGGTTTATCTGTAAATTTAATGTGCATGGCATTCATTGAGGAAAAAGCTTGAGAATATTTTTCTTTCACAATATTGGAACATTGATTTTTATGTTTTGAGCATATTTGAACTAGCCCATATTTATACATGTACTTGAAAATTACACATCAGTTTAAATTCTTAAAATAATAATGCATTTCTAAATAGATTTATTTCTTACTTGCCATTCAGCATGCTTAAAGGAAAATTTAAAAGATTAAAAAGTATTATTTAACAAAAGAGGTGATTTTGCTTCATTTTTTTAGCAATTCATAAAAAGTTTGAATGTGTTTATTTTGTGAATTTAATACACATGGTATTCATCTTGGAAAAACCTTGAGAATATATACTTCACAATATTGGAAACTTGATGTTTATGTTTTGAGCATATTTGAACAACGTCTATATATATACATGTACTGGAAAATTACACAGCAGTTGTAATTCTTAAAATAATAATGCATTTCTAAATGGATTTATTTCTTCCTTTCCATTATAAGGAAATACAAAAGATCAAAAAGTCTTAATATCAAAAGAGTACCCCCCTGTGGTGTTCTTATGAATTTCAATAATTTAATTAGAATCATTTATTTAAGGAGATGACAATACCCCATATTTGACTCTTGAGAACATATCTTTAAAAACATGACTGATTCTTATCATATTAATAAAGTTATATTTTTATTGATTTTTAGATCAATTATTATGATAAAATTCTTATATTTTAAGTGTAAATCTAGGGCTTTAAATTGACCTTTGTTTCTTTTTTGAATAAACTGTCAATTTTTGAAGAAAAGTAATCTTTATGGTAGAATAATTGGATTATTTCAAAGTTTTAAAAGATTTATTAATGCATATACAATTTTTTTGTGAATACAAGTAATAACATATATCCATTTGACATTTTTCTTATAAAATATCCTTGGAAAAATTAAAACTTACATTATATTCAATCTAAGGTCTTAAATTTTAAAAAGTCATGTTTAGAATATGACGGGTAGATTCAACATGTTCAATACTATATCCTTCCTATTTGTTATTTTACACAACAAAAAGCCCTTTGTGGTAACATTATACCGTGGATGGGTTATTTTTAGGTCATTTTACACAGGGTGCAATTATTTCGGCTCCTCTTTTATGGTAGGTGTAAACAGCTTACCATGATGTCAATTTCGGAATATTAATCTTACATGGTATATTTTTACGCAGAAGTAATTCTGTACAGAGATGCATTATATTTTAACGCAGGGATACCATTAAAGGGTACAAATGAATTAGGTAGGTCGCTAGGTGTAAAATTTGTTTAGAATGTAAAGAGAAGATAGTCAACTGTCATGACTGTAGTCGTAATTCACAAGTGGATTGTTTTTCGTAGATAAATTGAATTGGAATTAAAATGAAACTAGGTTCCTATTTTATAATACTAGGTGATATCATGTTTGTAGACAATGTACACATACATGTTTCTGCATTTGACAAACTTTTGAGCTCATGTTGACATATTTGTAATTTTTCTTGGCTTACTCGGTAAATAAATTTTTGCTAATTTGTAAGATTTTATAATAACTTAGGCTGACCTAAGATGGTCTTGGCTCCCATTTGTAAATTTGAATTCCCCTTATGTTTCTTGACATATAGCTTCTCACACCCACATCATTTGGTCTCTGGTGGATAGTTTGTCTCATTCCTGGCAACCATACCATATCTCCATATTTTTATACATGTATACTGTAGTGTTTTTCTGATGTAGGTTAATTCAGAAAAGTTCTTAAGATGCAGTTATTCTGATAAATGTTGTAACTTGAATGATAGTAATTTTTACTTATACAATAGATGGATTTTAGTTTTACCATAGATGTTGGTCAGATGTATATATAAATGTGTAATTTAGCCCTCCAGCAAGTTCTTTTTTCATTGCAAATTCTGTCATGACTATACAGAAAAGCGAAAAAATTTGATTATCATTAAACAAAATTTTTTAGCTCTAAGCTCAGTCCAAATTTAATTATATGGGCAGTGGACTAGCTAATTTCCTTCCTTGGGGAATATCAATAGACTTTTGAAACTTAATATGATTAATATGGACTAAAATATAATAATAATAGTATTAGAAATATTCTCCAAAACATTGCATAATATGTGTTAAAAATATTTTTTTCCCATAACTTTGACAGTTTTAAATTTATTTTCCGATATTTAGCATTTTAGAGTAATCTTCTATTATGGAGTTTAGATATTTAAATTCTTTAAATGATTTATAAACTATTTTGTATTCAATAGATTTAGTGGTATAAGGGTTTTGTTTACACATATTTTATTTATGTACAGATAAATTTAAGCCCAAGTACTACTAAAAGTTGTATAATCATTTTACTAAATTATGTTTCTAATACTCATAAATTTATTACACCTTAAAATCCTATAAATAAACAAGTCTAAACTTAGAACCTTAATACATGTTTGGCATTTCGAGGGCAAGTGACCACTTTGAACAAGAAATTATTTGAATCTGGAATAATTTTGAATTCTGGAAAATTGATTAGAAATGTATGATGAAAACTAAATAGGGTTAGCCATGCGTGCAGGGCTAAGGTTAATTTTACTTTCACTATCATTTCAGTATGAACTAACTAACCCACCTTAGCCATGCGTGCATGGCTAACCCTATTTAGTTGGGTTAGTTTTCATCATATATTTCTCATCAATTTTCCAGAATTCAAAATTATTCCAGATTCAAATAATTCTTTGTTTTTGGCGGAAAAGCCAAATATGCAGAGCAGTTAAGGGCATGATATACATCGATTGCAAGATAATTGAAAATTTCTTAACAAATAAACTGTTTTGATTATACCCCGTCGACTATAAGTAGGAGGGCATTATGTTTTCTTGTCTGTAAGTCTGTCTGCCTGTTACTCTATTTGACTGTCCAACCTATATCCAGAGTTCTCGAAAAGTGGTGGTCCAAAAGTTATAATAGACCACCAAAATTTTGCAAAGGACTGATACAATTTTGTTATTTTGCACTAGATTTTATAATAGTGAGGACCACCAAATTTTCTTCAAGGACCACAAGGGAACATAATATTTGGAGAACTCTGCCTATATCAAGTTAAAGATTTTGGTTATATATAGTTAACCCTGAAGTTATCAACTGGAAACTTTTTACCCAGGTTCATTATGGTGTAAGCTTTTTAAATTATATGCCAAATTATGGTATTGACCCTAATCTCATGGTTCACAGAACATAAAATGTCAAAAATGGAAGTGTCCTTAGCATGGACATATATATAGTCTTGTTTAAAGATGTGCACATTTAAGTGTATTTAATTTCTATGATGATGAAATTAAACTTTAATGAGAAAATGTAAAATCAGTAAAATGGGTTAATCTTTGTTAATTTTAGCGTTCTTTCTTTTGCACCATTTGAAAATAAATCAAATCTTGCCAAAAAATATGTTGCCCATTTTGTAATATTTGAGATTCTACAATAATTGATGAACGACAATCGTGTGCTCACACTCACACACACAAACCATTGTATCAGCATAAAATTAATCTGTACATATAGTATACAATATATACTATAATTCTAGAATGATTTAACTTTTGCATTTTCGGTGGCCGTGAAAGATTAATCTAACTCTATTCCTTATACCTAGTTTACTTAGTCTGAAAGTCATTAAACAATGAAGGTTTCAGACGATTAAAATTTGAAATTATATTTCCCCTATTAGCGGTATTAAAGTTAAAAGATAATCTACAGTTTTAAGTTTGAAATTTTTAATCTCCAAATTTAGTGACCATTAATTTTTGAAATTGAAATTCATGACCTTGTTGTAGACATATTTTTGTGAAATTTATTTGCAAAAATCACTATTTTTAGTCTGAATTTGATTGGTGCAATGGAATTGAGCTACAACATTTTTTAAACAAAGAAATTGCGCAATCTCATTAATTAACAATTGAACATCTGTGTAGTCATGAAAGTTGATAAGTCGCTTGTGTTTGAACAATGGAGACAAGGCCAAACTATGATTGTTGTCAATTTCATTCTCTAATTCTGAATATTAAATCATAAAATATTTATAAATAATAATTTCTATTGATATGGAATTAAGTGGGTCACCTACCAGACCATTGTACAATGTGAATAGAAGGAACGGTCAGAAGTCATCCTTTTATTGTGAGAAATGTTGTCCAAAGAATTATCGTAGTAAGTCGTGGATTACATTGAACGATGACATTAGTTATTATTTATCTTATTTGGTATTTACAGACTATCAGAAGATGCTACAGAGTCAGATTACATCCAGTTCAGGTATGTGGAATTATGGGTATTTTTTAATAATAATGATAAATAATGATAATAATAATAATGATAATGGTAATAATGAGAACTTTCAAAATTATATTATGGTGTAACGTTTACTACATAAGTTACTAGTGGGGCTCAATTGTGTGATCACATTATCATGATTATGTAGCCCATCCTTTATTTTTCAGAGATCACGAAAATGAACAGATAGCCAATTGAATGTTTTTTAATAAAATCTAATAGTTAGCTGATCTTCTTGTTAAAAATTTTTTTTATAATAACCAAGAACACATTTTAGGAGAATTGGTCTAAGCCAAGAGCATATTTTTGGGATATGGGCTACCTGTGCTGGTCAAGTTAATTTCCATCCATAGGTCAGTGACACTTGTCATAACCAAACCCTGTGTAAACTAGACTTTTGTATAAGGATAAACCTTGAATATTCTTTGGCCATTTAACATGTAAAAACTGAACATCTATTACTCAGGAAATAATCACCAGTTCCATTTAAATATCATTGCTTTACTATTGATGATGATTATGGAATATGCAATTCCAAGTACACATTCAGCTTGTATGAGAACATAATTTCATTATTTTAAAGTTTGCTGCTTTTCTGCTATTTAACATTGGTGCATTTATGGGTAGGGATTTGCTAAGTGTCTGGCTTAATTGACATTTCTGCTTATGGTCTGTTACCATGGTTACCTGATAAACTAGCATTTAAAAAAAAATGTTGAACATATGATATGCCTTACATGTAATGTTCCAGTCTAGTACTTATATATATTGTTTCCTTCATTTGTTCTTAAATTTCCATTTCACAATCAAGATTAGTAATTCAATATGTTACGATTTTGAAGTTACTTAATATTTAAAATATTTTTATTCCAATTTTAGGATGGTCTGACAACAGATTGGATAGAACTTCGGACAGATATGGACTTCATTCTTCACCCCACTTGACCTCAGGGTCAAGGTCAAATGACATTTCGTATACAGATAGAAGGATGTATCAGACATATCAGCCATCAAAATATGGATTATCTGGAAGTCCTGGATATGATTCTTACATGAATCGAGACTTTAATGAATTCACGACAGGACCGTTAGAAGAGACAGTTAACCCTGTAAATTTGGAAGACCCATTACGACCAAGTGGTTATACGCCATCTTCGTATGACTTGAAAAAATTTGATGACGAGTTATTTGGGCGTTCAGGAAAAAGTAATTTTTTGGATGGGTCAGGGGGAAACGATAGTGAACTTAATTTAGACACACCCAATACTGTAAATGATTCCTGGATATCACCGCCTATGCGTCAGACCGCTAAGTCTGAATTACCGCCAAGTGATTTTAAAACCCCTGTGAGACATAATAGAGCTGGAATTTTAAGAGACACATCAAAATATAACGATGAAAAGTTAAATCGAGGAAATATTGCAGTGCCATCTAGTGAGACTCAAATAACAAACAGTAACCATAACTCTGGGTGGGCAGACAGAAATAATGTAGATCACGGTAAAACAGGGCCAGCTGGCCTTGGTCAGTGGCAAAAACAACATCAAAATCATATGGCATTCAGGAACACCGAAGCTCAGGTTAGTACGAAAATCATACTTTAATGTAACAATTATTTTTATATGTAATATACCAATATTACAGTGGTTCCCAAGGCTTTGAGAAATCAACTGGATATTTTGTTCACTCTAGTAAACCATTCTTCTTAACTGGACCAGACTCTTTTTTATGGATTTTACACATATATGATTTGGACAAAATTAAAAATTTTACTGGTCAATTGGTCCAGTAATCATGGTTATGCATATCACTAAACTGGACTTAACCAATTTTTACTGGCCTTTGCCAAACGACCTTGGGAATGACTGATATTAGTATGGGCAATTCAGTAAAAATTCACTAAATTTGCAGAAGGAAATGAACAACACGATTCACAAAATTAATTTGTTTTGTTTACATTAAATTATTGGTTAATATAAATCTACATGATCAAACCTAGTTTTAGATCAAGTTACAGAAAATTGATGATGTTCCAGATTTTATTTTTCTAATTTTGTAGTTATTTTAAAATACAAATGTAATATTTATCATGATTCCGCACAACTCTCAGTATGAAGACCAGCAATAAAAACATTTTTTACATATATATATATAAAAAATGTAGTTACTTATTGGGTATATTTATGACAATTTTGTGTTATGTTCATCTATACATGTATCTATCATTCAGAAAACATGAAGGAAGGAGCATATGAAAACTTTAAAAAAAAAAAAAAGAGGGGGGGGGGGGGGGGTTGCTAAATGATTGCAGCTTAATCTTGACTCTACTGCTGAGATTGTAGGAAACATTAGTTTCTAATTAAGGGACAGTAGAGCAGTAACTCAGAAGGTTTAGATAGGATACAAAAGGTTATTATAGTGCCAGTGCACTATAGGAAATGTTATGGTATATATCATGTATATATGCATTCTCAATTGTATACATGGCTAAGCATGTTTACATGAACCTTGAACCAAATTTTAGGAAACTCTGATCATGATAAGTCTGATTTGTAGTTCCCTAAAAAAATGCAATGACAATTTCATGGGATGGATTGATGGAAAAAAGGACAGACAGATAGATTAACCAGAATACCTTTCCTTCTATGAGCAGGGAGGTATAATTACTGTTGAGTGGTGAATTCTCACAGTGAATACTAAAGATTGTGGGTTATTTACTCTAAAAAAAATCTGTATATTCAGTAGAGTTAACACTGGGAAAGCCATTTGGTTAATGTGCCTGCTTATTATCTAGAACGCGGGAATACATCTAAAAATATGGACTATGGTTAACAGATAACCAGTAATCTCTAAATATAGATGTTTGACAAAGAATTAGATGTTTGACAGGGAATTAGATGTCCGTCTTTAACTTTAGCTGTTTGCTGTATTTTTAGACGTTTACCGTAATCCCTCTCATACTCTTAGATAATGATGTCCCTTTAAACTCGCGTGAACGATAACGTGTGTATTTATTAACGTTAGCTATAGTATTGAAATGTTCGAGTTAAATTAATGCACATGATTTATCTAGTTTGACGGGAATTACCTGTTCGTCCGACAAAACTGATGTGTATTGAGTTGTCAATAATAGAACCAGTGATGCGTGAGCGACGGTTATAAAAACATTGTTGTAAGGAGATGAATACATAAACAATGTTTACAGAATCTTTTAAAACTAACCATCTTATTTCCCCTCGTTTAAACGATGTTTTTTGAAAATATAGTTACCTGTAAATTAAGACAGAATCAGATAATATAGATCTATGAGTTAGATGGTTATAAATATTTTTTCATGGAAGCTTTTATCAGTGTTGCAGGTTTCGACTTAAGGGGAAAGATCGACATACAAATACGAAACGCTTTTAGGCATGGCTTTCCTGATGAATTAAATATCGAATTTTTTCATTGGTCAATAATAAAAATCTATTTAAATACAACCAATGGACAAGATGAATACACGTGGTAACTTTGTAATACACAACTACAAATTTATGAATGGAAGTGGTTTAATCAAATTAAAGATTCAAATTGACAAATGTGTTTAACTGAGTTTTATTTCTATTTTTTGTCAATTGTCAATAGCCTATATTCATTCTACAACAAAGGATGCCGTTATAATCGATAAGTATGTTTCAGCTGGGAACAGTATCATGTTCCTGGTTCGAGGTTATAAATATTAGGGACTAATAAAATGTTTTTGATTACAGGTACATGTATATTGTTTGGTATGAACACACTTAACAGGCACGTGATATTTATTATTGTTATAATATGATAACCCTAGTAGAATTTATAAAATGTCTTTCTGGTAAAATTACGATCTAATTTTAAATTATCTATTTTTTTTTTATTTTAAAGTCAGAGTCAAATAGATGTATGCTATTTTTTGTTGTATATAAGTAATTTAATCACATGCCTGTCAATTTGAAAAGTATAAGAATGTTACGAACATCAGAGTTTTACTGGGACAACCTTTTAATTGTTTTACTTGAGATAATTGTTTCGTAAGAAGTTTATGATTAGCATATTTTTAACACTAATTGAAAGGGGGGGGGGGGGGGGGGTCGGAAGGAAGAAATTCGAAAAAATAAGCAGGACCACCAGCATTAATTATCGAGTGGGTGGACAGGGTACAGGAACATGAGAATGAGGGATCGGGAAGTGGGTGTCAGATGGACGAAAGCAGTAGGGTGCGAAAAGAGTTGCTAGGTTTGTTCTTTTCTCTCTTCTTAATTTTCGGTTATTAAATCCAAATAATAAGTATATACATAGCATACGTAAATACATATGGTGCACAGAATGTATAGAGTTCAATTTGCTAACACCACATTTCATATAAAATATTTGTATAGGTATGTTCCTACCACACAAAGATCATTACATTCTTTCTGCAACAGTCATTTTGACTTAAAGACTTTAAGTTGCTGCATGTTTATACCTGCCACAAGGACCACACAACGTGGGAACAGGTTTCGGAAATTCCTATCAAAAATGAGATGTCCAAGGGATGACTATAAGTTGAGAGCCTGTTGTTTTGTACTTTGGTTTACTTTGTTGTATTGTACATATCATGACCGACTCTAAATAAAATTTACTTACTTACTTACCTGGTGTAGTTTATAGGTGTGTTTATCTTTTGTGGTTTTGAATATAAATAAGGCCGTTGGTTTTCCCGTTTGTATTGTTTTACACTGGTCATTTTGAGCTCTTTGTAGCTTGCCCTTCGGTGTGAGCCAAGGCTCCGTATTTAATGTCGTACTTCTCGAGGGGGAGGGGGCATTTTTCTTGGTAGGGTGACGGAAACATCTAGTGCCAAACCCTTTTCGTATATTTTGTTTATGAAAATATATACCTTGTCATATATCAATAAACAAAAAACAGACCTATGTCTTGGAAAGTTGTCTGACTGACACACATACCACATATTCTATACCCCAGTCAAACTTGGAAACGAATAATTAGATATAGGAAGATGTAATAATTAGATATAGGAAGATGTGGTATGAGTGCCATTTCAGGGGCGGATCCAGAACCTTGAAGTCTGGGGGGGGGGGGGGGGAGCACCATGAAACCAAAATTAAAGATTTGTTTAGATATGTGTGGGTGGTGGTGGTGTCATGTATTGGGGATGATGGTGGTCGTGGAAAGGGGGGGGGGGTCAGGTCTTCATTTCTATATCTTTTCATTATTTTTGGATTAATTTCTTTCTACTCTTTTAGTTGCTGCCAATTGTCCTCTATTCTTTATAGTTCATCACACCTTTAATCTGTTTTCTATATTTTTTGGGCACATTTTTTTTCTAATCTGTAAACCCCATGCATACCCTCATTCACGGTAAACCATTCATACCCTCATTCATGGTAACCTATTCATACCCTCATACATGGTAATTAAAACAAGAAAAAAATGTGTATACACATATTACTGTACTATAATAGAAAAAGAATGGATATTGGGTATCCATTCACGATTCAAAATCAGTACATGCACAGCAAAAAAACACACAATAAGCAAAGGAACAGCGCTTTTATTGCTGTTCTTCATCTCAAATATGAGTATAGGTTTTCTAAAAGTACAATATCATTTTATTAATGATATCAAGGAATTGTATATTTAAAAGGAACGGAAACGCGGCTCGAGATCAATCGGGATACCCGCAGAGCACCCGCAGAGCTATAATCCATGTCTGTCTCAGTCGGAAGTATGATGAATAATATAAAGAATCATGACGGAGGTCCATTTCCTGTCATATAGATCTGTCTTTTAATTCACGGGGTCATCTTGCTTGAGAAGATATAAAGAAGAGAGAAACCCAAAATCAAGAATAAACTTTTATTCCATGAAAAAAGTAAGGCCTTAGGTATCATTTTAATGCCTCATCAAACATACGTTTGTAATATTGTATTATGAAAATTCTCATTAAAATAGACCTCGGTCTTGAAACTTGAGCGAGTTTCGTCCGGATTACAAAACAAAAAATACTGTGTTTTGATTTTTTTCTAAAAGCTCGACAACTACGAAGTGCAAAACAAAACAGTTGATATCATTATGAAGCTGAAACCTTATTCTATCATTTTGCCCTTTTTTTAAGTTTCTGGTAAAATTTTTGAATTTTCTACGATTTTTCGAAATTTCAGTTTTGAATTTCATTATTCTGTCAAAATATGTCTATCAATCTGGGGGTGTACTACGATTTCTTTTAAATATTGGAAAATAGAAACAACAAAGTGAGAAAATGAGATATCATTTTAAAGAAGGAATATTTTCCTACAGTTTGGTATAAATTACGAATGCTAAATGTAATTGGTACAATGTAAATGATTTTATTTCGAAACATGTTGAAAATTTGAAGTAGTGCGTCAATAAATACATCGACACTTCGTATTTTGGTATGGGTTTAATAACTACTTGAAATAGATGTGACATTGACATACAACTTAAAAGCTTAATCTTTTTTCTATCACATAGTGTTGGTTTTATGAAAATGGTGATAAAAACGAATTTGCTATGATTTTTCAAAATCCCATGTTTATAGTTC